GTCAAGTTGTGTTTTTTTAATGAGAGGCTTAAAGCAGCACTATGTCACTTTTTCTGTATTCAAAATGATCAAAATGTACATAATGAGCGAATACATCATGAATTCATCTTCCAAACCGTGTTTTTGTCTTATTCCGAATCACTATGGTACACTTATAATACGTACTTATATTTGGACTATTGTAGCCTGGTCAGGTCGTCACCGCTGCGGAGTAACACATACCTGCGTGAATCGCCATAGACATAAACTTAGAGAAGTAGCTCCGGTTGGGATGTTCTTCTGCGGGATGTGTGCAGTTCTGTTTATTAACCGCTAGAGCACCAAAAGTTACATAGTGCTGCTTTAATAAAAGACAATTTGAAGGTTTTTGGGGCATATCCTAATGACAATGACGAATGAATACTAGCCAGAAGAGGATATATGACTTCTGGAAGCACCTCTTTTAGGAGCTTAGATGGAATAGGTCTAACATACATATTGTTGGTTTAGATGATTTAACAAGTTTATACAATTCTTCCTCTCCTATAGTAGAGATTGAGTGGAATTGTTCTTCAGGGGATCTATAGCATACTATCTGATGCTATACTGTAGCTGACGGCTGCATGGTTACAATTTTATTTCTAATAGTATCGATCTTGGAAGTATAGTTCATAAAGTCATTACCGCTGTGCTGTTGGTAAATGTCAACACCTGTTTATGCTTTGTTTCATTAATTTAGCTACTGTATTGAATAAATAAATATAGCACACAACATCTAGGCCCAGGTCTCTGCCGACTTTGGGGCTTGTGGCATTAAAGCCCTAGGAGGAGATAAGAGTTGGAAAATTTGTTCTCAGAAGAATAAAGACACTCAGAGGCTGTTTCAAATCACACCCTTCACCCTCATTCACTATTCCCTACATATGTTTACTAATATAGTCCACCTGACAGAGAGAATACAGACACTGATGAACACGAAGGAAAGAGAAACAAGGACTGAAAAAGAAATGAGATGAGCAGAAACACAAGAACTACAACTGACTTCCAGAAAAATACATTACATTTCTCAAGAAGACATTAAATCTCGCAATATCTCAGCAGAGGATGATTAAACGGCTCCAAAAACAGCATCACCAGCTTCACGCATTACCAGGGGCGATTCTAAGATTTTAGTTTTAGGGGGGCTAAGCTCCAATTGAGGTTATAATAATAAAATAAATAAATAAATATATAAATAAAATAAAAAATGACTGACTAATGTGGTAAGGTGGTAAACTAAACTTATTGCTTAGACATGAACAAGTTCTTTGAAAAACATGTCTACTGTCTTTGAAACATGTCTAGTCTTCATGCTCCATGTTGAGTATGGTTTCACTAATAATAAACATACATTTGCATTAATCAACATTGGCATGGACAAATATGGATGCTTTGAGTATTAAACATTTAATAACATAAATGCTACAAATGTGCCAAATTCAGGAGAACTTTGGAGCTCAAGCTTTGAGGTTCACATTAGTGCTCTTTTTTGGAAGAAAAAAAATGTCAAGGATGGAATGGATGCTCTTTATGCTTGATACAAAATTTAAAGAGTTGGTCAGTCACTGCAGAGATAATTATCATGTGATCAACAGTAAAAATGAGATTAAATTAACTTATATCACAGAGCTTCTAGAGAAGATTGATGAATTCATCAAACAGAATAATCATCAGTATTACAATAATGATATTTACTTAAAGCCTCGATCCAAGATCAGAATAGAAAAGGAAAAACAAGAAGAAAAAAAGGTGAACAAAACAAATGAGCAAGAGGAAGAGATGAAACAAGAGCAAATAAAAATAGTGTGGGACAGATTTGCAATGGGCAGCCACAAGAAACTGACGCCAATAGAACAAAACTTGATCGGAGCAGGTAAGAACATTTAATAAATTAATACACTTTTTGACACAAAACTCTTAAAAAAAATTAACAACTAGGCTATGCAGCTTTATGACGTCATGCTACAATTTAATGGCATGCAAATGTTATTCTCAGACAAACACATAAAATACAACACAGAACAAGTACATAACTCCATTACTTGAGTGAATAAGTACATATGCTGCTGGTCAAATATCACCCCATTACAAGTGAAAGTTGTAAAGGCAGATTTTTATTTAAGTAAAAGTACAGAAGTACTTGCATTTAAAAGTACTTAAGTACCAAAAGTAAATTTCCTTTTTTATGCCAATGCACTGTTTTATTATTGTTGTATGTAATACTTACAATACCTCTGAAGCAACTTACAATACATTATGCCTACTGAATATACTGACATGTAGTATCTTTGGAGTAAAGAGCGTTTAGAACAGTGGTCTCAAACTCAATTCCTGGAGGGCCACAGCTCTGCAGAATTTAGCTCCAAATCACACCTGCTTGGAAGTTTCTAGTAATCCTGAAGACCTTCGTTAGCTAGATCAAATGTGTTTTATTAGGGTTGGAACTGTGCAGAGCTGTGGCCCTCCAGGAATTGAGTGTGAGACCAATGGAATGTTAAAAACTTATAGAAATGAAACAAGTGAGTTGACACAAAATACAATTTTATTTAACACCCCTACCCTTCCCCACAAAAGCAGCATGGTAGTGATCTCACACAGTTCTGGCAGTGTGTGCACTACATGTAGCCATTCAGCACACAACTGTACTTGTATAACTTTACAATAGCAACACTGCTTTAACTGAAAAAAAATTGATTTATTTGACATCAAAACAAATTTTCAAATATGCTCTCTAACTGCTCTTGCAGCACATTGCTACAATTTTATTTAACACCCCTACCCTTCCCCACAAAAGCAGCATGGTAGTGATCTCACACAGTTCTGGCAGTGTGTGCACTACATGTAGCCATTCAGCACACAACTGTACTTGTATAATTTTACAATAGCAACACTGCTTTAACTGAAAAAAAAATAGATTTATTTGACATCAAAACAAACAAATTTTCAAATATGCTCTCTAACTGCTCTTGCAGCACATTGATGTCATGCACCGAAGGTCTGTGCAGTGCTGCTTCAAGTCAAACACCTTTTGTGCTTTAAGAGATGCACAAGATTTGTTCTGTGGCTTTATAGGTAATACTTTTGTTTACACAATTTTGCAAAATCAGACAATATTGTGTCTAATATATAGCGCAATATTAACTTCTTGAATTGTTGTAAATAAATATCACATTTGCAACTGGTCAGTGTTCAAAAAATGCTGGGAAATCACTTCACATAACCCTACAAGAGTGATTACTGATATACTGAAAGAAAGTCAAGTTTTAGAGAAGAAAAAAATCAGCCACTGGCTTTCAAAGCTGCTACATAGTAATGACTTTCTACTTCGAAGACCTTGATAGAAATGTAGTGGAGTCAAAAATATTATATTTGTCTTTCAAATGTATATAGTGAAGTTAAAGTCATAAGTTTCCAGAAAAAAATATTACTCAAGTAAAGTGCGGATACTCAAAATGTGTACTGAAGTGCAGTAGCTACTCAAGTAAATGTACTTCATTACCGTCCACCTCTGGTCAAGGGACAATGCCAAATGGGCTGTACATACTTTAAATATGCAGTAAACAACATGGATAATTTAGGTTTTTCTTTATATTTCATTAAAGTTTTGATCTGATTTGCATAATATTTACAGTGCATATCATCTAGAGACATTTCAAAGAATAAAAACCTAATGGATCTTTACTTTGAGAATGCTTTTTAGAAAAATATTACCAAGATATTCTGACAAATTGTACCATATTCCACCTTGAAACTACAATTAAATAATGTGTACAGCAAGTTATTGTTGTGTATAATGTATAAACAGGGCTTAATTTGTGCCGGAACAAGCCGAATCCGGATCCGGCGCCTCTGAAATCCGATCTGGCACCTCATTTTGGCGGATCCCCCTCCTCACACGCCAATGAAAGACGTTCGTGTTGACCTATATCATGCATATATTTCATGAAAAATCTTCTATTATGAGCACGCTTACGCACATTTACATTTGAAATAAACTTCAGCATGCAAAAGACGCGACATGAGGCTGCTCACTCAAGACCGAATGCACGGATCCATACTGTTACACATGCGTTTTCTTTCTAAACGGTTTACATTTAGGACATTTAGGATGGCCATTTAGACATAATTTTGTGTGTATTTGATCGCTTAAGCTCAACAAACCACTAAAAATAAATATTATATAATACTCGAGAGGCGACTTTATACGCACGCGCTTTGGATGTGACTGTGAGAGCACAGAATACAGCCTATGGAGCGCACGAGTACCAAATGGCTTAAAATACTTAAAAATATGTGCAAATAATACATTTTTGTGACAATGCAACAATGACCCAATTAGTCAAGTGACAGTTCTGTCAGCTGTCCCGAAATGCGAGTGAAAGTCTTGTATCGCAGCGTGCAGCAGGTCACTGTAGCGCAGACAAGATACGCCGATGTGAAGCGTGCTCTGAGAGAGTTCAGGGTTTCAAAGGCTAGTTTCAAATAACTGATTTAATATTATAGTTTGTGTGGATTTATTTGTATTATTCTAACCTACATGCTATATTGAATAAATGCAGGAATTATCATTATAATCTTGAAAGCTGCGGGAATGAGTAAAACTGTGCAATATAGCTACACAGTAAAATCCCGAGTGTTAAATTTACACTGCTCGGAGCATATATGGTCCCACTCTAAAAGAGTGTTAAAGTAACACTGAAGCAGTGTTAAAGTTAATGAGACAATTATGTGATTAATTAAGTGTTGATCGAGCATTAGTGATGAACACCTGCTGTTAACAAGCAGAATCACTGAAGAAAAGAGAAACAAGAACTACAACTGACTTCAGCCACAGCCTTAGATGAAATCAACTAAAATAAAAGAAGGCGTTAAATCTCTCAAGAACTCAGCAGAAGATGATTGAACAACTCTACAAACAGCATCACCAGCTTCATGCATTACTAACCAGTTAGACTATCTAAAACAGAAGTTCTTTATTGAGAATTAATGTTTAGATGGGGTTTTTTTCAACTTACCGTTTTTGTGAATAGTGGTTGCTTTAGTTGCCTCTTGACCCTTGACATTTTAAATTTAAGTTTCTCTTGGGCTGGCACATTTGTGTGTATTGAACATATGTGATGGCAAGGAAGTTATGGTAAACTCATGTCATGTGTAGTTTTGGGTCATTCTTGAATGTTTTGTTCGTTTTGAACGAATCTTTAATGTGACTCGGGAAGAACGAGTCGTCTCGGGGAGTGATTCGTTCTGTCACGCATGCGCAACATCCTATAGGTTCTGTACTGGAATTAGTCAAGTAGTTCACCTGGTTCGAGTCTTCGGGTTTGAGTCATTCATTCATCACGTGACAGCCCCGTAAGCCCAAACCCGAAGACTTGTCAGATAAGAGGTGGTGAGCTAATCATAGACTGAAGACCCAGGTAAACAATGAATTAATCTTTTCTGTTTCTTATAGCAGTTTTGTATTGTTTGTAGTGTGATCAACGTTTGCGTAAGTAGTAGACATATTAGGGAAGTAACACGTAACACTTTAATTATATTTTGTAAAAATTAACGAAATGACTCGAAAAAAGTTTCGTTCATTTTGCTGAACGAGACTCAAAGGTCCGAGTCGGTAAAATGATCCGAACTTCCCATCACTAGTCATGTGTCTGAGTCTCTGATGGAAATGTTTTTAAGACTGTAGTGTTTTTATGATTTCTATATTGTTGCAGTTATATGTGATAACGTGAGAAAAACCTTCTTAAACGATTTTTATAAATAAGGTTCATAAAAAGGTTTCAATTCTGTCACTCATAGACGTGAAGAATCAGCATGTGAATCTCAGCAATGGTGACAAAATATTCTGATAATTTTTGTGTGATTTTTGAACATCACAAAACAAGGCAGTAAAAAGTCACAACAAAAAATAACTAAAATAAAAGCAAATAGTAAAAAGAAAAGAAAATACTAAGACAATGCAGCTGCATAATTTATTCATGTCACAATGCATGCTGGGAGCCATGGATGAGTTATGATTGGTGCACCCAGAATGCAATGCAACATGAATCTGTCTGATGATCATCACCATTGTTGAGATTCATATGCTGAGTCTTCATGTCTGTGTGTCTAAACAGCACAGACGGCCTTAACTAGTGTGCAAAATGTTTTTAAAGCTCTTCCTATTATTTCATTAAAATACAGTTGTGATCAATAACAAACTATATTGCGCATTACCACTAATGACATCAGTGAACCCAGCTACTACATGAAAACAATGTCATTATCAAAAAAAACTGCCAATATAATCTAAACACATTTTCTCTTAGTTTTTCTTGTCATAACAAATGTTTCATAAACACAATTACAGCAACCAGAGAAAAACTAATGTTAAAAAGTCAAGGGTCAAGAGCCCAACTAAAACACGTATCTCCACAACGGTGACTTCAAATTGTATTATTTTCAATAAATATTAACGTCTAAATCTCTGTTAATTCTTAATAAGAGAATTATTTAAGAGAGAAGCTTTGTTCCGGGACCTCGCAATTTACAAATTAAGCACTGTGTATAAAATATTATATAGTTTTATATAGCACATAAAAAAGTAATATCATTTTATTTCTCCTATTTTTATCTCCTCTAATCATATCAGATCTCAGGATCGTGTTGGTGGGTAAAACTGGAATAGGTAAGAGCGCATCAGGAAACAGCATCCTGGGACAAAAGATATTCGGAGAAAAATTGTCTTCGCAATCTGTGACCGAGAAATGCCAACAACATCAGCAGATGGTAGATGGTAAAATCATCTCAGTGATCGACACTCCAGGACTGTGTGATACATCAATGAGTGAAGAACAACTGAAGAATGAGTTAGTGAAGTGTGTCGAGATGTCTCTTCCTGGTCCTCATGCATTTCTTCTTGTCATTAGACTGGACGACAGATTCACAAATGAACAGAAAATTACAGTGAAATGGATTCAGAGAAACTTTGGAGAAGATGCCACTCATTACACCATCATTCTGTTCACTAGAGGAGATCAGTTAGATATACCTATAGAGGAGTTTCTGACAAAAGATAAGGCATTTAAAAGCTTAATTGAACAGTGTGAAGGCAGGTATCATGTTTTCAATAACGGAGATACAAACCGAGATCAAGTAAATAAACTGCTGGAGAAGATAGACACAATGGTGATGGAGAACGGAGGACAGCATTACACCAGTAACATGTACAATGATGCTCAGAGAAAAATCAGAGATGAAGAAAGGAAGATGAGAGAGGAAGAGAGGAGAAGAATGGGAGCATATGTAGAAAATATAAGGCAGGAAGAAAAAAACAGGCTGAAAAAGAAGGCAAAAAATGTAGCATTAGTGGCAGCAGCTGTAGCAGGTGCAGGAGCAGCAGTTACTGGAGGCGCAGCATTAGTTGCTGCTACTGGAGGAATAGCACTACCTGTAGTTTTAATCGGAGGAGGAGTGCTTATCTCGGGAGGAACAAGTGGAAAACTTATTGCAGATAAAATTAAAGAAGCAAATTCAGTCAGGGGTGTAAACTCTATTCCCCCTGACTGTTAACCTAACCAAAACTAGCAATTAACCCCCTCCAATATGTATCCTACAGTCTTTCGATATACATTGGATATACAGTTAATATACATAGCAAAATAAATCATTTAAAGGACTAGTTCAGCCAACAATTAAAATCTCCTTATCTTTTACCATGACCGGCCAAGATGTATATAACTTTCTTTCTTCAGCAGAAGAGGAATGCCATCTAATGGCATCTAAATTTTGGATTTGAAAGATGGATTTTTATCCATCTCAAGTGAACAGGGTTAAACGTAGACCACAGTGTAAAAAAAAATGGTGAAATGCATGGCAGCACAGTGTGCCAAACCTCTACCATTAATGGAAATAATGGTTAAATATTATTTTAAAAACTGTAAATGAGTGGTAGAAGCAGCTACCAAACTGTTAAATTACAGTAAAATATTTTTTTCTTTAAAACGTTTTACAAAACACACTGTTACTCTACAGGTATTTTCTTGATTATTATTATTATTATTGTATTATTGTACATTCTCTGTAAAAAGTAAATCTTTGCAATAAACCATTACACTGTAAATCAAATGTTGTAAACAATGGCCATATTCTGAAAGTAACACTTCTTTTTCATTAAAACTGTAAAATCTCATAGAAAACAATGCATTCTGGGTAATATTTGTTGTTTCCGAGAAAGGCCCTGTCCCAAATGGAACCCTAAACCCTCGCGGTCTTCGCACTCGCAAACTTCCCTAAGCACTTCCCCTCGGGGGAATGCCCGCAGCCATTTTGAAGTGCGTTCCACTTCGTGAAGTGAACAGGGGAAGTTTATATGGACAGACCCTCGAACCCTGCTGCAAATGAGGTGTGGTTTCACGTTTTGTCACGCGAAACCACAGCAGCGTGCACGGTCTGATCCGGACTTTGGCTCTGGTCCAGAGACGCAAAAAATATTAAACACTTTTAAAACTACACAGCCTCAGCATGATTATGATCACTATTTTGTTTTACTAAGAGTTTCATATTGGATCTAGGGGTAATCTATTATTAGACTGTGGCTGTCAAATGCGACTTTACTGAGCTCAACGGCTCTGGCTGGCCCGAGCAGATATAAACAAAACGCTATGTCCCACCCTGTCTTCCTGTTTCAGTTGAAATTACTTCACCACATAGAATAATGCTGTGTAGCGTCTGCGTAAAATCATGCATGGTATTTTTGGTTTATGGCTTAAGAGACCCCTTTTAGCCTTTGACATTTGCATATAAATTACAGTCCTGGTCACAGACTTTACATTTATATGGGGCTAAATTGCCAAATAATTCTCCCCACTATCAAGGAGATGTTAAGCAGTCCACCACTATCATCTCCCCAACTGACTTCAAACAGTTTCCAAAGAGAAGTAAATGACCCCCCCAAAACCAAGCAAATGGGCCATAAAGGGAGACAAAGGAAACTTTTGTCCAGCTCAAAAATTCACGCCTGGTATTGGCTATTCCACCCAGAGGGGGGTGTGGATAGAAAACCCTCAAACGTCATTAGCTCGAAATGATCTTTGCTCAGAAAACCTCTTCTTTTGAGATGACACTTACTAAGACTCTCAAGACTCTCCTCTTGAGTTTGTTTTTCGGCAGTTTTTATCTTCAAGTAACTTCGATTCGCTGTGGACTTTCCTATCTTCAGAAGAACCAGGAGTAAACTTCCAGCTCACTCCTAAAGAACTAATCAAAGACCTCCGTTATCTACTGCATCAGGACTCTTGTTCAGCAATCGAAGCCAAATGCAAGTAACCGTTCACAATTATTTAGATGCGTGTTTAAGTTTCAGCCCCTTTTAATGTGATTTTTGATTCTCTGATGTTTCTCAAAGGTTGTGTCTAAAATTGATGTGAAATACTGCCATCCTTTACTTTCCTCTCTCTTTTCCTTACTTTGTTACATTCTGTATGTGTTTTGCTTAGTTAGTTGTAATAACTTTGATTACTTAATTTTAAGGGAATTAATTATTATTAATTCATTCAGGTTTTGAAAGGACTCGAATGAAAAAGTCGAGGTCCACCTGATTAAACTGGTTTTTAATTTAAATGGATTCCACCCTATCAGCTACTCGGCCAGCGAGAAGTTAATGTCAG